AACGCACAGCTATGCATGGTATTGCCTCCTGCCCGGACCCTTGTGCACTCATGCCCAAATCTGCCAACGCATACAGGGTGACATGATGGGCGATTCAGCCGTCGCCTCAACCTGGGAAAAGGCCCCCTCCGTCATGGGTCTTGGCTCTGCTCAGTCAGCCCCCTTTGTTGTCTTTACCAAAGATCTCTCCACTTCTGTGGTACGCACCCAAAGAACTCGCCATGCCACCCGTCCCCTTCTTGGTTTGTAGTGCCAGATTGTCCGCCTGGCCTCATGCGCGCGCTCTTTGCTGGTCCTGATTGATGTAGGTGGTCAGCTCATTCAGCAACTTTATGGTCCACACCACCCACGCCGTCCCCGATGCGCTCGAGTTTGGTGTACTGGGCACAGTGGAGGAGATTCCCGAGGGATTTGCATTGGAAACCATTGTCAAGGTCGGCAGCGGCATCAACCAAGCCACCATGGCCTGGGGTGATGATCTCCTTGCGTACTACGGTCGTGACCGCTACCAATACCGCAGCGATTATACCCTCAGCATGTTGGGTTACAGCACTGGTATGCTCGCGCACCACCCGTCCATGATGACTGTTGTCCGCCTGTGGAATCAGGCAGTCGACTCTTGATACGGCCGTGATCTTGCCGCCAACCCCATAGACAACGGAGCGTACTACTATTACCAGACGGAGAACAACAAGACCTACGAGGACACCCTATTGGATGTCTATGACTATGCTCAGCAAGAGAGCATTCCATACCGCTATATTCTCCTTGACTCGTGGTGGTACTACAAGGGTGCGTACGGCCGTGTACCCGATCGTGCCCTGGTCTGCTGTGTTACCTCAACGCCCGACTGCACCTGGGTTCCGCCTAACGATGCAATGTACACCGCTCGAGCAGGTCCTCACAATGGCGTGACGGTCTGGGATGCCATGCCCTCCATCTTCCCCCACGGGCTGGAATACTTTTTCAACAAGACTGGGTGGTATCAGCAGCTGCACAACCGCTACTGGAGTGCCGAGACCCCCTACGCCAAGCAAAACGGTGGCGAGTACGACTTTCTCATAGATGAGAGCTCGCAGTACGCCGTACCCACTGAACAAGCTTTCTGGGACCAGCTCATGCTTGACAAGCGCCGCAGCGGCATGATCAACTACGAGCAAGATTGGCTCGATGACGAGTACGACGACATGTCTTCCCTCCGCACCTCTGCCACCCTGGCCCGTCAGTGGCTCCTGCAGATGGGCAAGGCTGCCCAAGACCAAGGCATGACAATCCAGTATTGCATGAGCCACCCACGTCACATCATGCAAGCCGTGGAAGTGCCTGCCGTGACCAACGCTCGCGCCTCGGGCGACTACCACCCGGTTCGTTAGCCCCGCCTTGCCATTGAACCACTTGAACCTTGTTTCTACCGTAGCCAGGTGCCCGTGCATGTGCAATGGCTGGCTTCTTCACTATCAAACTGCATGCCGCTTTGCTGTTTTAGGGCAACGGGCAATGGGACACCACGCGCACGGCCATCTTTGGACACGCGCTGGGCGTGGCGCCATCCAAGGACAACTTTTGGTCCATTGCCGTGCAACCGGAGACCCACTACGACAACGGCACGGCCCAGGAGCATCGCAACCGCCTCCAGGCTGCTGTCAGCGTGTCGCTCATCATGAGCATGTGTGCCAAGTCTGGCAAGCTCCTCCGCCCCGAACGGCCAGCCACCCTCTTGGACTCGGCCATTGTCTTTGACGCCTTCCAGGACCACGGACCCAACGGTGTCGTGTCCACGACGCATTCCGACCTCTCCATCTCGGGCCCCGTTTCGTACGTGCTTGCTGTCAACCTGCAGAACGACTACGCCGTCACCGTACAAGAGTTGGGCTACCCTGCCAACGCGGAGCTGCGCGCCTTTGAGTTTAACAACTCGGCGTCGACTTTTGTCGTCAACGGAGGCCACCCCTTGCAGCTGCACCCCACAGATGAGTACAACTTTACGTACCATGTGATCACGCCCCGCTTGCTCAATGGCTGGTACTTTCTGGGTGAGACGAGCAAGTGGATCACGGCCTCGACGGATCGCTTCTCAGCCTTTTCAGCGGCCTCGGACAACATTTCGCTGCTCGCTGATGGCATCATTGGCGAGGTCATTACCGTGCGCTTTGCCGACTCAACCGGCGCCGTGGTGACGGGCTCGTGCACCGTGGGTGCCGAGAACCGTGTGCGCTTCTGGTTGGACATTGAGGCACGTGTCGTGAAGTGTCACAATGTCTAAGTCTGCCTTGACGGACTTTGAGAGGAACGCATGCCTGCAAGGTGTTCAGCTGTACTTCACAGTCGGACCTGATAACGCCGACTGACGCAACACCGCGTCCCACTCATACTTCCGGAATTGATGTGTGTGCTGCAAGCCATTGTGTCGATGGTGTTTGCTGGGAGGGCGTGCAGAGCCCCCGAGGCTGAGCGGCGAGCAAAGTGTAGATTGATATGGATAAACTGCATGCAATGCAGCAACATGCCGCGCGCCAAGACGAGAGCGTGTGGGGAGGAGTGGGCGGGGGGTTGCCAAGGGAAGCTGGTAAAGGAAGAAAGACGCCTTTTTCCAGGAATGGCCCCTGAATCAACAAGAGACGAGGGAGCCGAACAGGAGTGGGGAATGCCCCCATCATATTCGAAACAAAGAAAAAAAAAAAAAAAGAAAGAAGAAGCACAAAGAAACAAAATCGGAAACGGGCACTGGGCCAACGGAGAAAACAAAACCTGGGGGGAAGAATAAAGGAGGCTCAAACCTAGTGGTTGTTCAAGTTGATATGATCGCAACCCGCACAAGTATACACCAGCACGGGTACACATTTGAGCAAGGGCACGGGCCAGGACTACTTGTGTCGAGGATCGGGAAGCTCGTCCATGGCTAACCGCCGGCCCAGCATGCACAGGAGGATGGCCGAGCCAAAGATGAGCGGAATCACCCAAGAGCGAATGAAAAAGAGGTCGGGGTCTGTCCAGCTACGAGTAGAGCATCACAGGCGTATGAGGAGGGGCATTTCCGTGAGCACCAGCTTGTTGAGGGCATCGAGGCGAAAGCAGCACAAAGCGAACCGATAAAGGCCCATAATGCTGATGAGCTGGGCGATCGGGGTGCCAAAGATGGCGGCCAACGAGCCAAGGACTAGGCCCACGACCGTGCCGTCTCCAATGTACCACAAAAAGGCGACCATTGCGCTCACGCTGAGCGTCAAGTGTAAGGACGAGTCTGAGGACACCTTCTACAATAGAGGCTCCCCAGAGTGCACGGAGAAGAAATGAGATGGTGGGATGGCCAATCAAGAGCGAATGACTGCTGGCTGGGGTTTTGGGCCAGAACCAGGCCAACGTACAGCACAGGCGAGGAGGATGCCGATGTAGCAGATGGCTGTGCGAGTCACCGAGGCCCATTCCTACAAAATGGATCAGACCGTGCCGACTGTGAGCCAAGAGCCGATGGTGCCCAAAAAAAAGGGCTTGTTGAAGTTGGTACCGGCGCATCCGAAAAGGATCTGTAAAGGCGTTCAAACCTTGGCATGCTCAGTGCCAAACCAAGAGTCGAGGATGGGGCCCAGAAAGCCAATGAAGATGGCTGCACCTCCGAAACACAGCGTGTACCATCTAGACGAGCCAAGCGATATGCGAAGCGATGAGTACAGCTGGCAAGCCACTCTGCGAGTGGTGGAACTGAGGTTGTATTGGCATTTGCTGCCCAATGAGCGAGGAGGATTTGCGCGGCCGGTTACGTTTCGACACATGACTGACAGGGGCACGCCATCGGAGGCATCGCCGGGCTCGGCGATTTTCCGCTCGTAGTGCAGATCAAACATCATATGCGCAATGATGTGACCCGTCAGGTAGAGCACAGCCAGGCGAAGCAGCATGGCGCCGGATTAACGGGCCAGCCGGCCAGGCAAGTTCAACCGTGCCCAGATCAAAAACCACGATCACCAAGCACACCACCCGTGACTGCCCCCCGCGACCAGACCGCGTGAGAGAGAGTGAGAGAGAGAGAGAGAGAGAGAGAGTCGAGCAGCCCGAGAGAAAATTAAAAGTATTTTACTTGTATCGCCGCAGCTGGAAGTAAAATAGTTTTTTAATGGCGTGGGGAGGAATTGGAATGTCAGCGTTGCGATGCAACACAGAGACACACACAGAGCGACCGATACAGTTCATGTTAAAATAGAGGGTCAAGCAGAGATTTGTTTCGTCCGGTTGAGAGAGAGAGAGAGAGAGAGAGAAGCGAGCGAGAGGCGGACGAGTGGCAGCGGGTCTCGTGTCGCGTCTCGTGTCGCGTCTCGTGTCGCGTCTCGTTTGGACGGTTGGCGCAGCACGGTTTTTGGAGGCTGGGCTGGAGTGTCTGAGCCCGTTTGCCATCAGAATGGCAGCCGTGGCCATGCCCAAGTGTAGGTGCCATGCTCGATTTTTGTTCCGCGACGACGCATGTTTGCACTGCCGAAAGATGGGCAGCTGGGCAGCTGGGTAGCATCACAGATCAACAGCCTGATTGGCCAAAAGCAACAGAGAGGAGGGAGATGATTGTGTCGGCGCCCTTCTCAATGTTGTACTTGCACATGCCTGCCCATGATCAGCCTCGCTGCGGGCGCTGGACGCGCTCAAGTCCCGCCTTGAAGCCATGAAACGCCTTGACCCGCGCTCCCAAGTGAATGGAGATGCTGCTGGGGCCGGCGAGAGCCAGGACGTGTTTTGCGAAACCTCGGCCAGCACGCCACGCAGCGCTGACTTTGAATTTCTCAACAACATGTGCACCTCGACCGAGTTTCGCTCGCTTCTCAAGGTATGCCCCCGTCCCTCAACCTGCAGGTGTGGTTTGCCGATTATGCGAGTGTGGCTGAGCCCTTTCGACTAATCATTTCCGTGATCTTTTGTGCAACCCCCAACGCACAACCCGCCATGTGCACATTGCACTGCCGGCGCCTTGTTGCGCGTTTTTGAACATTTGGTCTTGCTATCCGTGGCCAGATGCACGATCGCTTGGCGACGGCCACGGCCATGGGCTTGCAACCCGTCGCCACAGACGGCTACACACGTCGATCCACCGTTCTCGATGCTCTGCAAGTCGTGCCACCAGAACTACGGTATCCTCTCGCCCACCCCCGCCCTTGCTTGCCGAGGAAAGGAGAGGCTCCAAGGGGAATACATATTAGACTCGATCCCCTCTCTATCTGTCCTCATGGTTTTTAATTTTAATTTTTTTTTTTTTTTTCTCAAAATCCTTCTCGTTTGGCTTTGCTCAGAGAGGCGGCACTTGAATGCTCGCGCTTGCTCGACTCGCCCCGCCTCAAGGCCTGTTTTCGTGCCTACGATGTCATGGCCACGGACGATTTTCAAGCCTCTCACGGTTCGTGGCCACCCGAAAGCACAAGACTGACGCTTGCCGGGGTGCCCTCCCCCTGCCCCAACACGGTTCTATCCTCTTTGCTTGCCGTGCAATGATGACGACTTGACATCTGCTTTCCTTTCCCTAAACCCGTCACCTCTTTTATTTTGTCGGACCACCTTGGCTCGCAGCAGATGAGACCGCACGTGTGGTCAGGCGCTCGGAAGCCCAGCTGCGCGACGGAACGACCTACCTTCGGTTGCACTTTCGCAAATCGGGCGAGCCCTTGGGTTGCACCATCCGCGCCGATGTCCAGCCCGACGGCAGCGTCCGCACATTCATTGCCCGCCTTCTTGCCTCGAGCTTTGCCGAGCGCTGTGGTGCGTTGCCGCCTTTTTTTTTTCTCAGACCCTTAAAATTCTCAAATGTGTCGAGGCCAACCCCAGCAGAAAGTTCCCCGGTCAAGCCCTTACCCATCCAACATGCCCACGCTCGCTCAACCATAGGTCTGCTCTGCATGGGAGACGAGCTAGTCCTCGTCAACGATCTTGAAGTGCGCGGTCTTCCCACTGATCAAATTTTGCAGCGAATGTCCGAGAACACAGACGAGCTCATCTTGGGCGTTATCCCCAAGGTGCGCCAAGCCTAGCGCCTTGAAATCCCGCAATGGATATCCACGCCGCACGCCCCGTGCACTTACATCTGAACTCAACTTGCACACCGCAGACCACCTCGCAACCTGGGACCAAAACGTTGCGCAACACTTTTGTGCGCGCCCTGTACTCATACCGCCCCCTAGAAGATGACTGGGCACCGTGCCCTGAAGGCGGCCTTGCCTTCAAGAGAGGCGATGTTCTTCAAATTCTCAAGCAGGACGGCGAGCTTTGGTGGCAGGCCCGTCGCGTGGACGGCCCAGCCGATCAGGTCGGCCTCATTCCTAGCAGCCTCCTTCAAGCGCGCCGCCCGCAGTATGATACCCAGGAGTTGGATGGCAGCCGCGGTGGTTCCGGTGCGTCCCTCCTTTTGCTGCCCTGGAACTGCCTGGCATACGTTCAGTTTGGCACGCTCTTTTGGCGTGGTATGTTTATGCCTGCCATCCCACTCGCTGATCGTGCCTTGACTGACGCTCTTGTTAGAGGGCGGCGTGCGCGAGGAAGCTTTCTACGAGGCAGTGGTCCTTGTGCAACCCGAAAAGCATCGTCCACCCCCGGTCGCCCTGATTGGTCAGACATGCGCCCCGCGTTTCGTCGACTTTCCCCTCCACCCCACCTTTTGCGTGTTCCATCTCTCGTCCTGTCGCACCGTCATGTTTATCACCGTTGACATGGCAGGTCCGCCGGGCGTGGGCCGGCAAACCCTCAAGGCACTCATGCTGCAAACCTATCCTAACGTGTACCGCACCTGCATCCCGCGTATGTCCGGGCCACCCGCCCCGCTTCCCGTTTTCACTCTTCTTCTTCTTTCACCATTCTTCTCGCTCACCTGACCTCGTGTGTGTATCGCTCAGACACATCAAAGCCACGGGGACGAGACGAGATACCTGGAGAAACCTACGTTTACGTCAGCCGGTCTGTCCGATTGAAACTGCTACTGTCCATTCGTTTCTTTTCTTTTTTTTTTTTTTTTTTTTTTTTTTTTTTTTTTTTTTTCTTCTCTTTGACCTCTGACGGCGATGCCCTGAGTAGCAAGGAGATGGAAGCAAGTATCGCGCGTGGCGAGTTTGTCGAGTATGGCGAGCACGAGGGCCATCTCTACGGCACGAGCGTTGAATCCATCGACCGCATTTCAGCCGAGGGCCACATTTGCCTAATCGACACCGAGCCCGAGGTGCGTGCAGGCCGCAGATGTTTCCTAACCGAGGTGACTTGTTGGTTTGAGCCGAAACCGTGCTAATCGGGGACGGCGACATGCGGCCCAAACCAATATGGCTGTTCCTAGGCCATCCCTCGGTTGCGCAATCGCCAGTTGCAGGCGCTGGTCGTGTCCATCCGACCCCCCAACCTCAAGAAGCTACGAGAGACACGGCAGGACGTTCTCAGCCACCGACAGTGTACCAACATGCTGGCTGCAGCGGAAACGATCGATCGCGCGCACGGCCCTGTTTTTGATTTCGTGAGTATGCCGCCGATTCCCCTCGCCGTGGCATGTTTCATCCCGCGTTGTTCCCAAGGTTTCTTCCAGGGCTCTTTCCGATAAAAGGTCTGACCAATCATGCCTTTTGGCGTTGTTCGCCGGTGGTTATTCTAGGTGCTGATCAACGACGATTTGGTGACGGCAGGCCGACGCCTGCATAGTTTTTTGTCGCAGGCCAATCAGCGGCCGCGCTTTGTCCCCGCCTCTTGGGCTGTCGAGCGAGCTCAGCAGCCCCTGGAACCCGTGAGCTATGCCTAGGGGCTGCCGGCTGCGTCTGCCCAATTTTTGCTTGTTCAGTGTTTGTGTGCCTGCCTCCTTGTCGCTGCTCCCCGGGCCCAGATGGCCTCAAGTTTTGCACATCCTGTCTTGTTTTTTTTTTTTGTTTTTCTTTCTTTCTTGCTTTTCCAGAGTCTTGTTCAGACGATCCTACTGGCCCTCATTGATTTCCAGGTGTGAATTGTATTTCTCCATGCTTGTGTTCACACGAGTCAAAAAGGGCATCAATCCTTCTTTCGAGTATTGCTCTGATTCTGATCAATGCTTTGCCTCCTTCGGCCGACCCAAGACCTCTTTCACACTTTGAGTCCTGCTCTATCCCTTCTGCACGGCCCACGCCGTTATGGCCGGGCACACAAGTGGGCCAAGAGGCACATCCATCACGCCGCATCTGTTCGAACGCGCGCGCAATATCCGTCACGAGCAGTAATACATAAATGCGTGCATGCATGCGAGAATGACGGTCATGCGAATCATGCACGAGTGCGGGCCAGTCATTTGCCCAGTTGAGTTTTCGCATGCCGCGCAGCTCTGTTGACATTCATGATCATCATCAAAGCGTTTGTTCGGTTCCTTCCGATATCGTGCGGGCCATGCGCAATGAGCGCGCCCGCTCACACACACACACACACACACACACACACACTCACACACTCACATATCCATCTCCGACGTGCCATGCAGGCCAGTTGGTGTTTGTTGGATCATGCCGATTGCCAGTGCAGCGTTGAAGCGGTCGGTGCTGCCTTGCAACCATCGCAGCCCACACGTGTTTTGGGACAAGCCACTGTTTGCGATCATACACGCGGTGACCGTTCATCACGGTGTGGAAGGCCCAATTTCTTCCGACCGCCCTGCCTTCCTTGCCTTTGCCCCCCCTTGAGCTACTTCCTCTCGCCTGTGCGCACCGCTTCCACATTGCGCGCGCGCTCCCATGTCAAGCTGCTTCTTTTTCGGGACCCACTCCTACGCGGAGTCTTCCACCTCCAGCGAGCAATCACCGCGCCCTGCCTATCGCGCGACACGCATTTTCTTCTCCTCACATTTTCTTCTCCTCACATTCTCAATCCAACACCTGCCCTACCCTGTGCCATGGCGCTCAACTTGCACCACCTCATCCCGCCAATGTTGCGGCCTGGCGACAATAAGAACAGCGATACCCAGGAGCGATCCTGCCATGCCGTGACAACGCTGCCCGAAGACTGTGTCTGCCCCATCTGCCTGGACCCCGACAGCGAGGCGACGCTGGTCCAGCTCAAACGTTGCAAACACATTTTCCATGCCCAGTGCGTGCAAGGCTGGCTCGAGAAGGTAGGACATCCTAAAGAAGAGCAAGGCAAAGAACTCGTGACACCGGTCATCTAGCTTTGCTGCCCTTTGTGCTCATCCCAGCTGCCACTGACTTTTGATAGAACACAACTTGCCCCGTGTGCCGGACCATTGTCACAGGCGCGGTGGAGGTGGCCTTCCTGGCCACGGAAGAGCTCGCGTTGCCCCTGCCCCCAATGACCTCCTTCAGTCGAGCCCTACAAGCCGTGGCCCGCCGCTACCACAACAACAATCGCGCCCAAAAGCACCGCGTCAAAGCCTCCCTCGTTTTTGACGAGGAAAAGTTTGAGCTCCTACCCCATCCCTCTCGCAAAGGGCTCTTCCACCGTCGCCTTCACGAGCCCGGGCCCGTCTTCAGCACAGACGTTCCTCATGTGAAGGAAATTTACCGGTACGATGGCATGACCGCCTGTGAGGTGCTTTTCGCGGCTCTCCGACATTTCACCAAAACTAGAGCTGCGCCCACACTCACCCACCACTTCCTGCACCGCTGCGTTCCCGTAGGTATGGATGCATCATGCTCATCTGCGTCAGTGAGACGCTCGATCATGACGTTACTCGATTGGCACTACATGTGCTGCGTCACGAATCAGTCACACAAAATGCCAACACGCTCGCCAATCTGCGCTCCATATGCAAAACAGTCCGCTCACGGTTGGGCTACTGCATGAGCCCAATTACCGAACCCCCAAGCAATGAGTCATCCTCCTCGCCAGCGCCCACTGTCGATGTCTCGCCCCATTCCTCCGCCTCCACCCCCTCATCGTCGCTGGCCTAAGCAAACTTAACACTTGGCCGCCGCCGCGTCCACTCCCAAGATTTCTCAGCGGCGGCATAGATATCTGTTTTTTTTATTCTCCGCCCCTTTTGCCTGCCGCCTGGCACTAGAGTGCTCGGCCGCAAGGCAGGGCAGAAATTGCCGAGCTCTGCTTCCATCTGTGCCTTGATCACCCTTGCCCGATTGCTTCCAAGAAGCTGCTAGCCTGAGGCTGTGTGTTTTGTTCTCTCGTCCGTGATGAATTGCTTTGTCTTCGTAACTTGTATTTGTCCCGCTGGCACGGCTCAGCCCAGCAACTGAGTTGCTCGGCCGCCCTGCCCTTAAGGTTGTGTCTTGTATCGGCCAACCCAAGCCTTTTCTATTGAGCCTTGAGAAACTATTGCGTAGTTTCATGCTCCCATTAACAAGTGCTTTCTTCGCAATGCGAGTAAGCCTGTACATGTAATCGATTTACAACAATCTTTTGAATGATGTGGAGTTAATGCGTAACGGTCACAGGGCTTTGAAAACTCTTGACCATGGGCAAAATCAAGCCACCGGCCTTATTGGCCAAAGTAATCCTGCAGGGCAGATATCAAGTCCGCCTTGCGGCCGGCTGCTTTCAGACCGACCAACTTGCACCCCACTTTGAGCTCAGCCACAGTCAAGCGAGCCAGCTGAATGCCGATTCAGTCGTCGACCAAGGCGAATGCAGGAACATATGCGACGTGGGGGGTGCGATCATGTGAGATTGGGCTCGAACAAAAGTGATTCTCCGAAGCTCGGTCAACAAGAGGTTTGGAAGGCACACACACACACACACACACACACCTGATCCTTCTCATATTTCTGCTTGAGAATGTCCAAGGTCATTTCGCTCTCGTCAGCCTTGGTGCGCTTGCTGGCCCCCGTGCCACCCGAGGCCGTGCTGCGCTTGGCGCTGCCACTAGGTGCGCCGTATGGAAAGACGGCCTGCGTAAATTGCTCGGCCGCTTGGGCTGCCGGCTCGGGGATCGATGGCACTGCGAGGCACACATCCCGCAGACGAGGTGAAACAGAGGTGGCAAAGAAACGTGTCTGCGACAGGCTGTCTACCATGCTCTGAGCAATGGCCCTGCTTCGACTCACCAAGATCATTCACCGACTCCTCGACCTTGGAACGTGAAAGAGCCAGTGCTTCGAGGGCATTAAAATGCACCTGAAGGCCTGGGAAGGGCGAGCAAGACAGTGAGCAACAGGCGACACAAAGAACTTGCCCAACGGGGAGGATCGGTGTGGCGCAAGCGATAGCTCTCGAGCACCACAACCACAACAACAACTTGATGACATACTTGGGTTGCGGACGCCGTGCCATTGAAAGTGCTTGTGGGTCAGGGAGCGAACCAGGCCCGTAGCAGCCTTGATCTGGTCGGCATCGGCGTGGGGAAGATCAAAGTCCACATTGACCTCGCGCAAATCCTCAGCATAAGGCAAAAAAATGACGTGAAAGCCTGGGGGCGATACTTGCTCGTGGCTATCCTCAGCCACCTTTTCCGCCTGTGCATAGCCAAAAACGGGCCAAGGCCATGGTTGGCGAACTGAGCCGAGGGACCGCAGGCATACTAACAGAGAAGGCCCGCAACCCGAGGTGTACATACTTGGGGCAAGAGGGCCACCATATTGGGAGGTACGCCCGCACGAGAGACGAACAGACAAATGGCCAACTTGCGCAGGCGCAGGCAACTATCCAGCAGCGACGCAAACACGCGCGTGCTGCCACTGATAGCCTACAAATATGACCCGAGGAATAAGCTGCACGCCACACGCAAGCGGTGGGGAGATGTTGCCTCCGACACCGAGAGCCACCTGCCTTGTCATCCGGATAAAGAAAGCAGGACTTCTTGACGTGATGCCACGGCTTGAGGGCCGCCTGGTCCTTGAATCCCAGCAAGCGAAGGCCCGGCTGACCAAAAGACTTGATCTGGGTCACCTCTTCTTTGGAGAAAACAGCCTGCACCCGAGTGCATGAGTGAGCGTGAGTGCCCAGCGCCACTTGGCGCGAAGGAGTCGGCGCGCACTCGCCGGGCGTGCAAACGACGCGTGTGGGCATGAGAGCATACGCACCATCTCGTTGCCAAATTTGGCACCATACTTCATGTCTGTGGGCAACAAAGGATTGGTCGTATTCTCGCAGTAGTATGCCGTCTTGGTTACCACGGGCTGTGTATCATTGTAGACGTAGCTGTACTTGCCTAACCGCGCCAGCCAAAATGAGTCGTACACCACAGCACGCGAACAAACGAAAGGCGCGCACTGATTTGGCCAAAGCCGACTGCCGCGAAGCGTTGCAACCTACCCTTGGTGGCCTGACTCACGAGGTTATAAACCTTGACGCCAATCGCCATGCCCCTGCCAGCCCCAACATAAGAGCAAAACCACGGCATCTGTTGAGAAGTTGGGCACGTGGACGAGTCGAGGCAAAGAAACGCACGGGCGAACACAACTAACTCGGCAAGCTGGAGGGGAATGGTCATGCGGGCTCGCTTCTTCTGTACTCGTGATGTCGTCTAGGTGAAGCCAATCAAGCCAAAACTGAAACGTGAGCGCAAAACAAGAGTCTGTTCTCTCGGCAGACAAACGAAACATAAAGGGCATTGAAGCAGGAGGGAGACCCGGTTACGCACGCGATCAAGAAGATCGTGAAAGCTGAGGAAACGGGAGATACCATCGTCGTCATCCCCGGCCACCTGGAGAGCACACACCACAGTCGAGAGACGTGATGGATGAGGAGACATGTAAAGAAGCACCATGCGACACACAGCCAGCATACCCGTTCGACACTAGTGATTTCGTCCCAAAAGAGGCGCTTGTTAAAGCCGTCACGATTTTGGCTCAGGTCCATGAGCATAATCTCCACGCCATTGTCCCGCAGATCTCCTGCCTTAACCTTCGCCTTGTCCTGCACCATGCCCGACCGCCCAAATCATAAGGCAGCAGAATCAAAACGCGTGCGGGAGCACGAGCGGTGGCTCGGCGCGGAACGGGGGCTAGATCAAACAGGAGGGTAGAACGTACACGAAGATCATCATCGGCCGCATGAGGGTTGTCGTTGTTGGTGAAAATCATGATGCGCTTTGTGGCCACCCGTGTCTTGAGGCGTGAAAACAGGTTCTGACAAGTCCAAAGAGCGTCAGAGAGATCAAAGGTGTTGCCGTACAACTGCACCACCTGCGAGTTTGTGGCGGGTGCGCCACCGAGGCGAACCCGCTGGCTATGCTCTGCGCGATACCAGACAGTCCAGGCTTCAGGATGAGTACATGGCGAGGAGGCAGGAGATCGAAGATGGATGCACAATGAACAAGGTTGGTTGGCTGCCAGGTGCGCCAGAGGAGCACTAACTGATGACGTTTTCCAGCGTGATAATCTGTTCCGCCTGCAACTCCTCGAGATTGACTACGATGGCAACGTGATCTATGGCAACATGCCCTTCCGGCGCCAAGCTGTTCACCTGTCGAGTCCCGCCACGAAGAGAGAAAAGCGCAGAGCGCAGCGCGAATCGTCAAACCCTTGGTATTAAAACGCGGACGCGTCAGTGTTTGAGGTCATGGCGAGCGCCAACCCCCGTACCGTGCCGTAGAGCACCACGGACACTAGATCGGCCTCGCTGATCAAGATTTTGCTGCGAAGTGCGGCATGAATGACCTGTGTTCGTGTGCAATTGAGCAGTGAGCGCCTGCGGCCGCCTGACGAGCGAGGACCACTCCTCTCAAAGAGAAGGCAAGTGAAACCAAGACGCAGCGAGGTCAAGCCAAGCCCCATACCCGCAGACAAGTCTCGCAATATGTGTTGTTCGAGCTGTCGACGCCCTCGATCTCAGGAATGGCCATGAGAGGTGCCGCTTCGCTCGATGCATCCGAGTCCAGCGAGGCTGCAATCGTCTCAAATGCCTGCTGCATCTCCTGGCTAGCATCGACCAGGAAGATGAGGCAGTCTCGTCCACCGTCATGTTGCTCAACGTTCTACGCAGCATCAAAACCATGGGCCATGAGAGCAGGCAGCTGTGCCTTTGACACAGCAGCCACACCGGTCGCGCCAGTACCTCCTCCGTATCCTCGGCCTGTCCGTACTCGGCAGCGGTGAAATCGTCATCGTTACCCTGGTCGAAGTCCCAGAGGGACAAAGACAAACTCGACGACATTTTGCAGTGTTGCGACCCAACGCCTCTCCGCCTCCGCCTCCGTCTCCGCCTCCTCACGCCGCCACTGAACCAGCAACCACGGACACACACGCGCACACACACACGCAGTTGAGGTCAACCGATCCCAAAAACAAAATAAGAAAGAAGAGGCTTGAAACATGTTTCGACAAGTTTCGGAGATAGACAAGCCTCTCTCTAAGATATAAAACATCCCCTTCAAAGTAAAACATTGACTTGTCGCAAGTGCCCAGAATTGGTTCGAACTCGGGATCAGATCGGCTTCGGTCAAGTGCTTGCGCCGCTTGGGTTTGGGCGTGGGTAAATCAGCGGATAACATTGTGCATGCTGATGTTAACAGTAGATGGGGACCAAGAAAATGAAGTAAACATCAATTGAGTCAGAACCAAAAAAAAAAAAACTACATGTGCTTGTTCCGGGGCTTGTGCATGAGCTCTTGGGAGGCCGTCACTTTGGATTTGGCAATTGCGTGGATTCCCTGTGTCCAGCGATGATGATCCAAATAATTCCTGGCATTTGATGCACACACATCCGGGGAGATCGAGGTGGGTGTCGTCAGGATGGCATGTCCGTCCGCCTGCAAATCAAAGTGACAGTTGATGCTGACAGATAGATGTTCTAGCGTGATCGGCGTGTCGCCCGTAACGTCGTGTTCATGGGCTTCGGTCTCCAGGCCAAGGCGATCGGTTTTGGTCTCCAGGCCAAGGAGATCGGCTTCGGTCTCCAGGTCGAGGCGATCGGCTTCGGTCTCCAGGCCAAGGCAACGCAATGTGGCCAGTATCATTCCAACTTCTCGTCCTGCCAGATTGCGCAACTGGCAATGCGCGAACAAACGACGAAAGATGACCGTCCATTCATCTCCATCCACCCTAGAGTCGTTCTCGTACACGGCAAGCGCACACAGCAGGTGCACGTCATCACTGCCCAGGACGATGGGTTGGCCTGAATCCAACACGGTCGAAATGAGTTGCCCCACCGCTTGATGCGTGCGTGCTGGATCTGACCATTCGGCCTGAGCCACAGCCACCGCGGCCATAATAATGGCCTTGAACCCGACGGCGCGATGGCCGGACGTAGCTTGGCTCAGATATAGCAAAGGCGATGTATCGGTACGCTTGTTACCAAGTAGGGCCTGGACAAAGGCACACAGTCGAGTGGTGGACCAGTTTGAAGCGCTGGCAGCCACGCAATCCATCAGGGCCACGTCGAGACCACATTGACGAGTTTGCAAATGGGTATTGGCCTTCAGTGTGGTAAGCAGCTCGGACTCGGATTCACCGCCCAACGCAACGATGGCCCGCATAAAGACATGCATCACGTGTGGCAAGATGGGCACTCGGGCACCCGCGTAAACATCCTGGGCCACTTTGAAGAGTTCGGCGGGCGGTAGCGGTTCCAACAGATGATGCATGTGTTCACCGAGAATGGTACCATCCACGGTCATGGAATGGGTGTGGGCCAACATGGTAGTTAGCACGGGTCGCAACAAATGCGGCTGGCCGGCTAGTGCATGCAGGGTCACACTCATCCATTGGATGTGGACGCTATGGTTGACGCGGTACAGGGGTGAACCGGCATCGGCCAAAACACGCGATATTCCAATCAAATCACCACTCATCATAAAGGCCAACAGCTCGGCATACACAGATGCCACGTCCCGGAGCACATGCGGATGGGGCTGCTGGGTACTCAAAACAGTCTGCAGCTCTTCCAGTGTAGCTTGTGCCGGACGCAGCTGGATCGTGCGAAGGGGGGCCTCCGTACCATGAAAAGCGAGGGTGCGGGCCAAGTTGCGGAGATGCTCGATGGTCCGTTCCACCACCCGAGCCAGTCGGAAATCAGGATCGTGAATGGGTGGATGCGAAATGGGACAGAAAATCAGGTCATGCACCCTGGCATCTTTACCCGCGTCGGGGCGTGGTTCGTTTCCCGTATTGCTGCCAGCCTTGCGTAGTGGTTGGTGTAGGTGCTCGGAATGTCCGACCATCAAGTCGTATTTTCCCTGAATGCCAGTATTGTGTGCTATGTGCCCGTGCATCTGGCCGTGATGGAGCGGGATGTTCAGCGTGCCGTTGACATGGTTGTGTTTGTGGTTGTGGCCGAAATTTGATCGTTCATCCACGATCTTTGCCTGCCCGGCCGTGGACAGGGTCAGACAGGTCGTGTGCGCGAGACGGCGACGTTGGGCCTTTTCTTGCTGAGCCATCACGGAGAGTCCTGTCAAATGCGTGGGAGAATAGAATACTGACATGTGAGCAACCTCTTCAAGCACAGGCACAATAAAGGTATCCGTTGCTTGGAGAGAAACGAAATCTGTGTTTGGTGTCGAGAGCATCACATGATACCGTTGCTTTCTAAATGCTTGCAAAGCTGCTTACATCATCAGCTTGTGATGTAAATTCTTCTAACATGTAAGTAGCTTGCTTGGGAGCAATTACCCCTAACTTTGAACGGACAACTTTTCAAAGTAAAGTACACTGTCGCCAGTCAAACGTTTGCCTCACACGGAACGGCAGCGGCTGTCTGATGACCGTCTTCCATTGCGCCCATTGCAGCTGTTCAAGCATGGAGTGCGAGGCACAGGTGCGTACACCATTTTTTTCGCCGGAACGGCGGCATTTTGTAACGGTCACTTGGCAAGTTGTCTTTGCTAAGCCCTTAGGACGTAGAGAGGGTGTTCCACACGAAGCTGCATTACGAACAGGGAAAAAAAAATTGCACACTCAGGGCCTATGGCACATGCTGTAAGCTTTGGCATATGCCTTGAATGAGGGGGCGGGGCTCGGTCGATGAATGGGAATGATGAAAAGCAAGCAGCCAGGGGAGGGCGCATGACGGGGGGCGGAGCCAGGGGATGACGGGGGGCGGGGGTGGGTGGCATTTTCTTTCTTGACTAACACGTCGACAACAAGACCAAGAAGATACACCTCTCTGCCCTTTGCATCAGCATCATGAAGTGGCTCGTCGTGCACACTTTGGCCGCCTTGGCCTCGGTCGCTCTGTCCGATGGATATGCCTGCATTACCATTTACAACGGGTTGGACTGCCCGGAGGACAATGTGGAGGTCATTAATTGCTATGAAGTTGATGTTTGCAAAGACTTGGGCGGAGATGACGACACCTACTCCTCCATGGCAATTTATGAAAACGGCAACGTGACAGTTAACGAGTATACCTCCAGTAGCGACTGCACCGGTGATGTGGCATACACCTTTTCGCGCCTGACGGACACGTGTCAGAGCGAGGTCCACCCTGAGATCGGCCCTATGTCGACTTACACCACTTTCAACGGTACTGCAACCACCACCACCACCACCAAGGGCCCGAACGGTACCGGCGCGGTGCAGGCCGTCGGTATCCTTGCCGTCTTGGGTGCTCTCACTAGCCTCCTGCTGTGAGTGAGGTGTTTTATTATGTGTGGTGTTTAGTGCGTTTGTGTGTACAGGTGATAATTGAGCCGAGATTCCATGATGAATATCTTTCTCCCATTGCATGTAAATCTGCCATCATCATGTGTTGCGCTTGTTTGGCCTGCCCTGGACACATCGCATTCGTTCGATCGACACGCATGCTTTCGCGCGTCGATGCTGGAGGAGATCCCCTTACTACATGGTCATAGCACTACAAGCATCGGCTCTAGAATCAATTCAGATGGTCGTCCACCTGTCGCCGATGAGAGGACCTTCACCAAATCACATCCGGATCTTAGCTATATCAATACTGTCATCATCGAAATGTTTCAAGGACTGCTTGCCCACGGCAAGATAAGGTAGGGCGCACGACTCATGGCGCGCTCAGACTACACTTAGGCGCTCTGAAGGGGACGGATGCACGTCCAAGTAGATGGTGCGTGCTTGCTCTCTTTGTGGGGCTGGATGGGTCGCGTCAGCTCCGTTGAGCGGCACAGAATTTTCGCCTGGCTCAGTCGTGGGCTTTGGACCCTGTGTTGGGACAGCGTCCGGCCCTTCTTGCTGGCTTGGCGCGCTTGCCTTGGACGAATCAGAGGGAGGCAAAAAGACAGCACCTTCAACGTCGTTGCTCTTGTGGTGAACCACACGAATCACAGAGGCAGGCAGAGGCGACTTGGCAGACGGCGCAGGGGTCATGCTCGTGGTGGCTGCATCCAACCGCGCTGACGCGAGCTTGGCGGGGTCCTCTGGTGAAGCAGTTGCTGTCTCCGACTGAGGACTCACAAAAACGTCGTTGCTGCCCATTGAAGGGAAGAGATCCGAGTCGAGCTCATCTAGTTCAACGGCCACGTTGGGATAAACACCCGTCTCCGCCTCGGCCTTCGCCTCTGCCTCGTCCAAATGCTGGAGTGAGCCCATCGATGCGCCAATATCAAAAACAACGCTCCCCTCTCGTGCGCGACGGGGCCGCCGGCCAGGCTGCAGAAGTGCCCCTCGACTAACGGCACTCGACACGCCTGGGCCTTGACGCGAATGGTTTACACCAATGGACGCTGGAACTTGGGCGCGGCCACTAGCTTGGTCTGTCGCCTCCAAAGCGGCAGCCCGTTCTGCCTCCTCCTCAGCCTCGGGCTCCTCCGTCAAGGTCGCCTCAGCTGAGCTGCTGTGCGGCAGACGGTGCCGACTTCGGTCATGCCCGTTGCGCACATTGCGCACTGGTTGCGTAAAGTCTTGCATTACCTGATGCCATTCTGAATGCTGACGCATGTGATCATCATGATCAAATGAGTCGACCGACGGCGTGCGAAGCACCCCACTGGCCTGGCCCACACTCTGCCCGCTGGCACTCCGTTCCATGTGGCCATGCATCAGGGCCGTGGACCATGAGTGCGGGCGCTTTAACGCGCGAGCATTGGCGCCGGTCGGCGCAAGATGCGTGTCCAGCTGCTTCTTCGAGGTTCCGTGCTGCAACATAAAGTGGTTGTCCAGACCCTCGGCATACGAGCGCGCCCTGCCTCCAGACGAAGAAGAAAATTGCCATGCGCGTGAGATCATTATTAGATCATTTCATTCCGCCAATAAGCAGCAAGAAAATGAAAAAAAAAGCAAGAGAGAGAGAGAAAGGGAGAGAGAGAAAAATAAGAGAAATAACAAATCGCTGAAATGTGAACATGCGTGGATGTGAAAAGCGTACCGCATGCGGCGAGACGGCCCTGAGCTTTGACTAAAGATGTCCGACTCAGGGCGCAGATGTTTGCGGTGTAACTCCCATAGCAGTCCATCGGTAGCTGCAATGATGCTGGTACTGCTTGGGGCCGTGACCGAGACACTCAGCTGGCCAAAAACAGATCCCTTGTCCAATTCACAGAGCTTCACCAGGCTATCATTCATGCCAACACCATCGTGATCCTTGCTCTCCTCGCTGTCGTCGTCCTTGATCATGACAAAGGCGGCGTCGCCACCAGCATCCTCGTCTTCCTCTTGCAGTGTTGGATTCGCCCCGTGCTTGACCTGGGGAGTCCAAGTTGAGGCTGAGCCTCCGCGGTGGTTGCTTCCAGAACTGCCAGGTTTGTCGTGAGAGGGGCGCACGCCAAGCTGCGGGGTCACGGCCAAACCACGGGTCGAGCGTGGCGGTGAAACGTGCGAGGACCCTGCCGAGGATAAGGCTTCACCGGCCTCAGCTGGCTTGGCTGAACGTGCCTCAGGCATGCCATAGGGGTCTCCGAAGAAGCCGAGCACATCGAACATGCCAGCGCCAACGATAAAGACTGAATCGCTAATATCCTGATATTGCAGGATGACTTCACCCTTCTTCACAGTGCGAGGACGAAAGTGCTCCAGAACCTGGCCCACGTGCTCCTCTTTGAGATGGCTGAACAGTGGATGGGTGCGCAGAATGGGCCGCAGCATGCTGCGATCCACCAGTGAGTTGGACCCATGCTGTGACAGCCGGCGAAGCAACGCCGTTTGATGCCGCGTCATCCGCCGACCGAGAGCCGTGGGCATGAGCAACTTATTGTGCTCCTGAAGACTCGATCCGCGGCTTCCACTAAACATGCCAAAATAGTTGACAGAGCGGATCCGACGTGGCAAGCTATCCGTTGTGGTGTAACCCTCATCCTCGGACGCTGGCCGATGGGATAGGCGTTGCTCGTGCTACCAATTAGGCACGCCGTACGAAACCCACGAGTGCACATGGAAAAGCAAGGTTAAATATGGCGTGCGCGCGACCAACACAAGACGTTTGAAGCAGAACCAAGTACGAGCCTACCCACCGCGATGCGACGCATGGTCTTGGCTCGAAGTACAACCGAAGCAGCGTTTGCCTCGGATGCGCTTGCCAAATCGTCCTGGAGCAACTCTTCCTGAATCTCGCACCAAGAAATGTAGAACTCAATCCCACGAATCAGGTAGCTCAGTATCAGCAGGATCAGAATGAGCTCAAGAGGTGATATGCCTTCACGGCCGCTCGTGACTTTGCTCAGTGCCTGATTGGAGCAAAGTGTGATGAGTCATGATGAAAAAAAAAATAAAACCTCAAAAAAAAAAAAAAAAAAAAAAAGCAAGACCTGCGAGGAGGCAGACGCACCTTGTTCAGTAGGGCTGCATTGACGTCCCAGATCTTGAGGTCCTCCTCGGCTGTTGAGGCCAGGAGATCCTCCAATGCCGCTGTTCGAGTCACAGTATGAGAAGAAGAGCTTCACACGCACTCCTTGAAAACCCTGCCCCTGCCCGAAACCCTTGAGCCTGGGTTCCAAGCTCTCACTAAACTCCACCATCATCGGCCATGCACCGTTTGCGCACGCACACACGCACCAGCAATGTCAGCCCCCTTGAGCTTCGGCAGCTTCTGTCCGTCCACATAATGCGGTAAGATCAGACCCAGCGCCGCGATGACCACCAAAACAGAAAAGAGAAGCAACCGGCCCCGTTTGAAGCCTATTTGAATCGGTGCAACCAGGGCACAATGTGTCATCAGCATCGGACGAAATGACACAGGCAAGAAAAAGCAGAACAATCAAGGCGCTACATGGGCAGGCTGCTGTCGGTCAAAAAGCAACCAACAGAGCTTGCCCGTGTTTGACAAACCTAGGACAGTGATTGGCGTCCAGTCGTGCATCATTCGTGCCACATTTAGGAGTAGAACGGTGATAAAAAAGGCACAGCTCAGCAGCCTACAGGGTCAGCGGTGACATGAGGAAGGTGGGGGTGGGGCCTCACTACTCTTGTCACGCAATGTGCTACCTACAACTGGATCATCAAAGCAAGAGACACAATGTGCGGCTTATTCAACGCCTGGCGCAAGCCCGAGGACTCACCAAGCATAGGCCTGTAAATACTGCCCATCGTGTGCGTGCAGAACCAGAAGCTTGGTTCCAACCCCAAGCATAAACATGCCAAAGGTAGCCATGCCCAGTGCCAGCGTCCAAAGCCAACCTGTTAGCATGCTGTGTCAATAAGGTGAGTGCTACAGCCACATGGTGAATCAAGACGGTCAAAGAGCTTGGGCAAGAAAGAAGGCCAACATTCGATCGGTTCGGCAGCATGAACAGACCTGCCCTGCAGCGCGTGTTTGTCGTCTGTCTCGAGATCCGGCTGGACCGTGACGTAAGATTGGAAGATGTTATAGACCAGCAAGAGGCTGAACACGACCACAACATACACGCTCACCTAACGGTACCATGTTAAGCCAGACAGGTCAGATGAATGAACCGGCAAAACAGCACCAGAGGCAACTTTCCAAGCAGTTGGGCACGCCAGCGTTTGTGACAAAAAGACCACATACATCGCATTCACAGGGCAGCTCGGGCAGGACAATGGAGATGAGAGACTCGCCCAAGATCAAGATGACCCATAGCATTTGACGCTCCATGATGTGCCAGATGTTGACAGGCACACGGTTTTTGGGTTCGAGGGCAGCAACTGGATAAATCAGAAGCTCGAGCACGATGGCCACGGCCCAGAGCGACGGGCCCTTTGAAACGGAAAAGCGATGACAGATCAGTGAGAGTGCCTGATGGAATAGTGTTGCACACTCAACGTCCGTAGCAAGTCAAGCACCTCACGCACCGAGCCACTGGCTTCATCAATACTGGTGGCGATGGCGGCGGCAATCCAAAAGGCCAAACTCAAACCAAAGCCTATCAAGTAGCTGACTGACATGTGCCGCGAGCGCGGCGCAAACCTGGAGACCGCGCCAAAGGTGCCCAAAGGGGGTGCGGCCGTGCGATTCCATCGTCAGTCCGACGAGAGAGAAGCGAGCGATGAGAAGGGCATGTGAGCACCACGCGACCGGGCGCAGCTGGACGCGATGCCACCAAGCGTGGTTGCATTGGGTTTTCAATTACTCACACGGCTGTAAGTCCGTAGACGGCAACCATGGACAGCCGAGTCATGATGATGGAAATGGAGAGGCCAACACGAAAGGTGCCCGTGTCATGCACGGCGTCAAAGTATGTACCCCCACGATCCTCAGTCAGGGGCAATTCACTTTCAGCAATCTTATCTTGTGGTACGTAAAACTGAAGCAGACCGGCATGAGCACAACAGAGGCTGCAGTCGACTCACGACGGCTGTCGACCTTTGACAAGGCAACCAAGGTTCAACATACATGCGAGTTTGAAAATTCGACCATATGCAATGCCAAACCCAGGGTACCAATCAGCAGGAGGACCTCCAACGTCTTCCAGGGGGTAGGAAGTGTAAATCTAAACACCGATGGAGGCGGTGCCAGGACGTGAGGACACATGGCTGAGCGGGCGCGGCATGTTGACTCGATGAGAGGGGGGAAAAGAAGAGCGTCGACTGCTTGGAAGCACAGGCTATCTGACCGAGAAAAAAGAAAGGTCACGTGCAACCAGGTGGTCCAGAGGAGCAGGAAGAGCTCAAAGGTCTCTGCCACCCGGAGCCATGTCACATCAGCTTTGGCAAAGTCACTGAGCTTGATGATGGCGGCAACAAAGATCAAGTCGTAGAAGAGCTCATCCTTGATCTCACGTTCATCCTCCAAAGCCAAGTCCTCCCACAGCTCCTGGGTCGTATGCAGGGTTGGGGTGGGTACGACGACGCCGCACACGTTGAGCGGGTTGTCCTTGACATCCTCCATGGCCCGCCGATTGGCCATTTCATTCATGACTGACGCATTCGATTCAGATCCGCCGACAGTGCCGGTGAGACTCATGATGGTGCGCTGTACAAATGTCATTGCGAGCCAGCTGAAGGAAAAGGGAAACCACTTTGGAAGACGCCAAGGCTTGGGAGGCAACCGCTGGGCGGGCGTTGGGACGAGCGCGCACCTTGCTTGAGGGTTGAAGCGCCATCACGACTCTTGCGCCCATCGCGGGGCTTGGCATCACTCAGATCCAATGACACAAGGCTGAGTGGCGCATGTTCCATCACGGCGGAGGACGAAGACTGGGACTCGGGGATATCCGAGAGGCGGGGTGAAGCGGGCGCCATGCTTGACGATAGACCAAGTCCTTCTCAATTAGCAGCCTGGCTATCAAGGACCAACCCGTAAAGGAAGGCAAGCGCGGCGCGCAGCGTGGCAAAAGGGCTGCTGGTGTCAGCGGCTCCCGTACCGTGCACGCTCAACGATACAGAGCGAGCGGAGCAAGCCAACTCGTGTTGCCATTCCCAGCTAGCTCCCTCCTCAACGGCACGAGCTCTACCTGTATCACCAACTGATGCCTCCACGAGATTGACCAAAAAGCTGAACTGCCTCCAACCCACCAAGCACCACCAGATAACAACACCACCGCTACCTACCACAGCCACTGCCACGACCACGGCCACTGCCACCAACGCCCACACAACGCGTGCAAACACCGGATACCGCTGCCGTCAGCGAGTCACGCGCGCACAGGAGGCCCGCGGCCCCCAACGAAAACGTTTTTGTGGGTTTTAAAACCACCCTCTAAAATATAACAAAAGGGAAGTCCCTCTTTTTAAAATGATGCTCTCCAAAATAACAATAGCAATGCCAGAAGATGGTCGGGGTCGGGGGTGACACGAGAGGGGCGCACTTGGATGAGGCGGAAGATGTGTGCGGGTACACAAGTGACAGAGACGCGGGAAAAAAGCACGCCGGTAGCATGAGAGAGGGAGATGCCCTCGGATCAAGCAGATGACGCCACACGACGCAAGAGGTGTAATGTGGTGTATACAGCAGGCACATGCACGCAGACAACACGAGCGAGAGAGAAAGAGACACACGCCCAATAGGAAACGGCGCACAGGGACGATACGAAAGACGCACACAGACACCAGCATACGGTTGCATACTGAGATGAAGGCAAGGCCACTGTGCTGGCTCGAAGCCATGCATGACACGACTCTGATTGAAACGCTCAAATTGAAACGCAGGTGAGGATGCACAAGAGGGGGTGGCCAGCTGTTGAAGGGGTATATAAAAAAAAAAAAGATGTGCCTAGGTTGTGTCGCGTTGGGACGCTGCCGACTCTGACAAGAAGGCATACAGAAGAGGTAAATTTCCAAAACGGCACAGGTGGCGGACAACCAATAGACTTTGACAAAAAGTTCGGCTTGCACGCTTCACATCTTGTCTACCCAACCGCGCAGCTGGGCCTTTTGTCGTTCATCGTAGACGCGATCCATATCGCTCAAGTAGGTGGACATGCGCTCCAGCTCTGAATCTGTGGGTGCCAGGGCCAGCCCACGCTCAACGTCCTCCTTTGCCTTGTAGAGCTTTTTTAACTTGATATAAGACTAAGAGGCCCCGCGTCGGTGAGTTTCACGAGACGCCTCAAAGAAGATAAATAATGAGCCCAGCTCGGCTTGACTTGAGCTGAGTGTGCGCCATTTCGCATGGCCGTGCTTACCTTGGCGCGCCGCATCAGAGCTTTGACGTTTTGAGGATCAAGTGCCAAGACCTGGCTTGTGGTATCAACACAGCGAGCCCACTTCTCCTGCTTCATCAAGCATACTGCGCACGCAAAACATGAGGCCCCTGCCCAATGAGGCCCCTGCCCAATACAAGGCCACAGCAACCCATGTGCAACGTGCAACCTGGGAGGCCAAGCAAACGCCAACGAAGGTTTTGGCTTACCAGTCATATTATTGAGGAGAGCGGCGTGTATTTGCGCCACCTCCAGCTGAGCACCCTCCATGGTGTCCAGCGTGCGGGCACCAGCACCGTTCATGCCGCTGGAGCGATCGGCAGATACAAGTGCCGATCGCGAATAGCAGTGGCCCTAGGTTGCCCCCACAAACCCACCGAAATGTGAGGCGCGTCCCTCTCGTAATTTCCGTCTCAGTGCAAACCGGTCAGTTACCTACAAAATGATAGAGACGCAGGGCGTCTGCGTAGTTGCCCTGCTTGAGAGCCGCATTCCCCTGCTCCTTGTGCTCTCGTGCCTTGATCAAGGAGCTCTGCACCTCCTGCTGCCGCTCGGCTGCCAAATCGGCCATGTTCAAGCCCTCCATCACCCTTCTTTTTCTTTTTTTTCTCTCTCTCTCGCTCTCTCGCTCTCTCGCTTTTACAAGCAGCAGCAAAAAAATGCTGACGTTGGGTGGTCAAGCAAGAAGATGCGGGAACAACGCACAGGATCAGTCGATTGCACTCGAAAACCACCACCTCTCGGTCACTGTCAATGCAGACACACACACACACACACACACACACACACACACACACACACACACACACACACACACACACACACACACACATCCGATATACACACACATCCGATATACGCACACACACACATCCGATATATACACACACACACACACACACACACACACCCGACACACACGCACAAATCTACATGCCCAAGCCAATCGGCCAATCGAGACGTGTCTGTGATCGAGTCCCCACGACAAGGGGAGATGGGGACGTTGTTAGGGTTGTGGCGTGCTTGACGGCTTGTTTGAGCTCAAAGACACAAAGAGGACAAGTTGAGCCAGAAAGCTGGACAGGGCTTCTGAGGCCTTGCCCGACATGGTGCGCTTTTGCGCCAAGGTCTGGAGCTGGCGGTGAAGCTGGTGGGCAATCTTGCTCCAACCGTATAGACGAAGGGCTTGCAGGATGCGTTGTCCGCGGCGCTCGAAGCGGCGAACCAGACTGATCTTGCCCGCCATGCCCTCGGCGTCAGTCAAGAACGAGCGCACCTCATTGCCAAGACTCACGTCGTCCACCACGTGCAGCACCGACGCACGCCCGGGGCGCCCCTCAAGATCAGAAACACTTTCGCGTTTGCTGCGCTTCTCACTCGGCTCGGCCCCTTGACCCTGACGCGTGGCTGCTGGCAGGCTAGTCTCTGCCGCAAACCCAGGCAGGGAAGCTAACGGTACAGGGAAACACAAAGATAGACCATCCTGCCACAGCAACAAGAAGCAGGCAGCATGAGGGTGTAGCCATCGACCTTCAAAGAGACACGTAATAACTGATCTTGACCCTTCAAAGAGCTCCTCCCCCCCATCAAAGGAAAAAAAACTTACCTTTGTCGGCGAACTTCTCAGAATGCCGCCGTGTGTGTCATCGAGGCGAACAAGCGCAGCAAGATGGTTGGCATGCATATTGAGCAATATGCTACGCAAATGCTGTGCTGTCTCCACCTGTCCCTCGCTGTTGGCTGGGTCGGGCTCGATAAATCCCACCACCCCGCCTTCGGGGGTGTCGTCCAGATCATCCAGTGTCACAAAGCATTCAATCGACCATGCAAGCCCTGACGAGGCCGTCGGCCCCAGTACTGACTCGACCACCTCAGCCCCCGGCGTCAAACGTGTACGCAGCCGCACACGACCATAATGAAGAGTCAAGGGCGTCACGAAAAAAGAATCCACTGACACCCACACCTCGGCTGGGCTAGGAGCGATGGAAGCCGAGATGACCAGGGGCCACCGACGGCAACGCTGAGCCAAAGCTACGAGCGCAGGCGAGGCGGGCCCTCTCTCTGCCTCGGACTGTGATGCCTTCTGGTGTTTGGTCTCAGATGTGGCTGCTTTCGACTGGCTCTTCAAAGGTGTCGGTTCATACAGCAGCACACGCCTGGGTCGCACCGAGCCCAAGAGCTCCATGGCCTTGCGCAGCCGATCATCCTGTAGCCCTGCTGGCGCGAGCACTAGAACAAGGATTGGCGTCTGTGCAGGTGCCATCATCTGCAACTGCGCTTGGGTTTGTATTTGAAGCTCGTCGAGCTTTGGAAAGACCCGCTGTCGGGTGTAGCCAAGATACCGAGCGCACGACAATGGCGGCCGTGAGTGATACGAGGTCAGCACTTTGATGTCTGGATGAATGTACGAGCTTGTGCGGCTCGAGAGAAGACATACTTCGGCGTAGTCAAAGCCTAATCGAATGCCGTGGCGTGTATAACTAGATGTACAAAGACGTGAGCAGGACACAAGCGCCAAGGGAGAAGCACACCCCGGAACCTACCTAATGCTCAGGAGATCATTCTCGTAGGCGGCCGACGCCTTCTTGAGGCGGCGGTAGGTTTCACGTTCGAGAAGGGCATCTTCAAGCTGCGTCAGAGCCGTGCATCACCAACCAGTTCCAATATGATTCGATCCAAGTGAGTTGGTGCGAGCCAGACATAAGTGCGCGCGCAGTACGGGCCGGACTCCTGCCGGGCTCCAAAGACGCACCAAGCTTAGCATGACCAGGGCTGCCATGATTGACGGCCAGTCACACAGAACATTCAGGCAAAAAGAGGCCACCTGCCCTTTCCCGCTGTACGTCGACAGCTCGTTGTACTTGTAGAAGGATATCACCGAGCCGTCCCTATCGCGACCGCCTCGGCTGCCATCTCAGGCACCAACTGATCCCACACACACACACAGACACACACACACACACTGATGCTGTTGTTCAAAATCGGGAAATGTCTTTGTACTCTCGAAATTAATATTTTTTTTTGGCGATCAGGTCAAGCAGTCAAACGCCTGCCGGAAAAGGAACGGTCACCCCTCTCCTGTAAGCAGTGTTCGAGCACTGTGAAGCAGGCAGAGAGACAGTGGGGGAACAAGATTCGTTGCATGAGACGGGTCAATTAGGTCAGCGCGTCGCCAATGTGCTAGAACATCACCAAACGCACATGCCAAGTCGAATAGACAATGCGAACCGATTGGGCAAAGGTGGGCACTCAGTGCCTTGACTAAGGTTATTCGTTCTTTTTCTTTGACAAGCAGCCCCTCAGTTGGGAGAGGTGTCTTTGGTGACATCATGCACGTTAGTTGACATTCTGAGCAATTTCCGTAAAGAAGCGAAGAACATCTCCGTTGGAAAATTCGAGGGACACATTTGCATTCTTGTAGCACTGTTCGATCAGTTGATCGAAGCGCTGGTATTGTCGCATAAACTCTTCCTGCATGCTTCGCCACACAACGTCAAGCAAGCCCTCCTCGCTGCTGAGGTGCTTTTCAACCCGCTTGAAGGTTGCCTCGAGCCCGCGCTTCACCTAATCACCGTTGTTGCAAGAGGAGAAGACCGCAGACTGTGTCAGGCACCTGGACAAGCCCTCGCATGCTTGCCTGAAAGACAAGTCCGCAAAGCGAAGATTCTTGGCTCGGTCGTACCTCTTTAGCGGGATACAGCTTGATGACCTCTCGCAGTTTCTGCTTGTTAAAATCATACTGATAGCCCACCTCGGCCACCGAGGTACCCGACTGCAGCTGCCGTTCCACTCCCTCGAAGAAGGCCTAGCATGCGGCTCGTGAGGCAAGAGTGTGGCAACAGCAAGGCCTGTAGACTGAAACCAAGTGCACACAGGCAAGGCGTGTCAGCATACACTGAGATGTTCCATGGGTCGGCCAAGAATGCTTTTGACATAGGCTTGCAGATGCTCGCGATACCGATCCTGTGCTTTGCGGCGAAAGTCCTTGAGCACGCCAATCTTGACACGCGACATCAAGTCTAAAACCCGGGGGTTGCCATGAGGTCAGAAGCGACAACACTGCGACAAACACACACACACACACACACACATGGGAGCAATCGCGGGGGTGTGCCGATGATCAAACTTACCATACATGTGGTGCAAATTCTCTACCAATCGCGAGCATCCAGTGGATCGTTCAAGGAAAAACATGGGATGAGGTGTGCCGAGCATATCGGTTTAATTTCAATGCGAGGCCAGCCATGGGATTCCTCACCAAATAGCAGGACGTCTGGTTGGCGAGCCTCTTCCGAGCAAGCATAGATGGCATCGAAGATGCCTTGAAGCCAGGTTTCATAGGCCTAAAATTGGCCAAAACCCAGTTGTAAGCAGGCATTTGTATAATCGCAAGGAGAGAAGAAGGCTTGGCTGCCAGGGGGCGTGTTGCGTAACAGACCTTGTCAAGAATATTGCGGTTGGGATAGTTTTTGGCAACGGCCTCGAGGTCAAACACGAGTTGCTACACGAATATTCAAGCCCATGGGTCACCCACGCGCAAGGTGGCGAGATGTGCACGTGATCAGCCAGATGGAGAAACAAGCGCAAATGGCACCCACCTCAAACTGAACAATAAATGGCAGAATGCCCACGGCTTCCTTGCGTTTGAGGCGTGCCTCTCCCATGCTCTTGACGTGCTCCGCCTGCCCATTTGCCAACAGAGTCAGTTGGTGGTGCAGCAAAGACTTGAGCACGCAACCCCAATATGCTGGCAAGATGACGCACCACAAAATTGTTGAAGTGCCGTTTGGCAAAAACCAGGCAGCGGCCGAGAATACGCTTGAGAAAACCACTTGCCGACGCGGAATGCACGTATTGATCCAAGTCCAAGGTCATGGTCATGGAATGGCTATGAAGTTCAAAGTCATGGTACGGCAGTTGAGTATTGAATGAGCTTCCAAACAAGAGTCGCCAACATTGTTTTGGAGCTACGCACAATGAATCCAATTGACAACCCTCATCAATGACTCGTTTCAAAATGTTTTCCACGCCTAACACAACCCAACAATGTGTGAGCTGGGAGCAGAGCCGTGGCTCTGGATAACCGACCGGCTAGAGGAAGAGTACCGGAGAGAACCCAAAGAACCTACTGGCGAAAATGGTCAAAAGGATCTCGTCCAGCGTGAGCCGAGCCGTCAGTGACGCCATTTGCTGTTCGTTTCCATCGCTTGACTCCTTGACAACGTCTCGCAGCGCACTACAGTCCACACCGACCATTCGCGCGCTGACGTCAGCAAGCACGATTGTGCAAAAGGTGGGGAGGTGGTCAGACCACGGCGCGGGGCTCACATGTGTTGCTGTTGCTCCTGGTCCGTGCCATCGTCACTGGCCTTGCTCGCTGCTGGTAAGGCCCCATCGGGCTCGGCTGCACGCCCAGACGGCTCGGGGGTAGCCCGCACGTCCATGCTCGAGCCGCTACGCACGTTTCGGCCACCGAAATCAAGACTCTTTCGGGCCATGATCAAGCCATACAAGGCCTTCTTGCACTCACCTTTCCACAGGCTGAAGGTCGAAGATATGTTGACACAGGGCATCCTCCTCATTGATGCGCTCCACAAAAGCGCCCACCAATTTGCCAAAGGTCTGCAGGTGAGTCAGCCAGAATGTGAGACAAGACGAACCCTCTTTTTCTCTTCAGGCCAACCGGCTTGATATTGCGGCCTTTTTTTGTTTGCTTTTTTTTTTTTTTTTTTGAAGTGTTGGCTTGTGTACGTGCGCCTGTTCAAGAAGAATCGAGTGCAGCAACATGCCTCGGCAAAGTTTTGGCGTCGCACGCTGCGGTCCTCCTCGCCTTTAGCCTTGCCCCGGGCCATCATCTGCGCCAGGTCGCGAAACAATGCCGGTTTTTGGCGTGAGCCTCGACGCCAACAGTTTGGCGCAAGCGCACGGCCATTTGGTCGGGACCCTCACTTGGCGGGTCGTTTCAGCATGCATTTGCAGCTGCTGCTCGTACACAGCATAAATAGAGGAGGAGTACGACTGCATTTGCCCCAGAAGTAAAAGAAAAGAAAAAAAAGTCACCCCAATAACCATGAGTCAGGATGAGGAGGCACGCGATGAAGCGTCGAGACAACGAGGTCGGCGGCAGTCAAGCACTCACGCGTGCAAGAGAATCAAAGCGGGAGAGGTCGCCGGTTGCTTCGTGGGCTTTGAGCCAGAGTAGCAGGTCACGATAGGCCAGCAGTTCCTTTTGACGTTGGGCATGAAAATTGACGTGTGCTGTTACAGACTGATCTGTCGCTGCCTCGGCGCGGCTCGCCTGTTGAAGAAAACAGGTGATCCAGCATTTTCGACGCCAGTGAGGAGGAGCAATTAACGCTGCGAATTGAATGGCATCAGCCGTCGGCAGCCGCCGGCTGCGCATTTTGGACCTGTTTTTCAAGGAGGGCTTCTAAATGTTGGGAAAGACGGATGGCAAAAGTATCCTGAGCTTGCATGTACTCGCGGGCTTGCTGCTGAACAATCTTCATGTGGCGCCAGGCTGTGGCGCCCGGATCATGACACGTCCAGACATTAAAGGTTCAAAAGTAGCAGGTGAGAGCCAAGATGAGGAGCATAGTGGGACGACGGGGCAGGGAGTATGAGAAACGGCACTTCACCTGGCTCGATGGGCACGGCCAAGTGGGACTCCAAAGCGGAAATCGCCGCATGGCAGCGTTCGCGGCTGGGATCACTTCGAAAATCACACTGCCGAATCACTTGCAAATGCTCGGGGGGGAAAGTCACCAGATCCTATGCAGATGGAGAACTTTAAGAAATGACATGTGCTCGAGGTTGGTGGTGGTGGTGGTCGGATGACTGGCAGTCGTGAGTGGTCGGAAGAAATAGCCAAGTGAAACAGCTCACCAGCACATTCTGCAGTGATGCTTTGAGTTTGGCCGTATTGGTGGCTTGTACGCGCACGCGTTGTTCCTGCTCGGCAACAAAGCTGGCTGTACGCCGCATGGGCTAGATACGACGACGGGAAGCAGGAAACAACCGCAACAGTTAGGAGGATCGTGTCCGATCATGAAGGCCATGGGTGTGACACGGTCCTGATGGCGCGGCTGACCTTGGCAATGTTGTCGTACTGCTCCAGAGCGCTCTCGACTTGGGAAAGAGCGGCCAGCGCACTATCAATCTGACCAAGCACGGTGCGCACTTGCGGACCACATTGCAAGAGCGCGTGGATATTGGCCTGTGATCAGCCTCGTCCCACGGGAAGCAGCATGAGCGTGGCGTGCAGATGTAAGCTTAGGGGTAGCACACTTTGCCTCACCGCCTCGAGGGCCTCGACTTCGCCAGAAAGTTGATTGGTCAAGACATCAAGATGGTCGCTGTCCCAATTATACTTGGCCAAAACGGCTTGCGCCTGCTCTTCCTCGTCCGCCGTCAGGGCCAAGGGCAGGCCAGTGGTGTTATTATCCTCATGCTCGTCATCTGACCGATAGGATAGGCAGTATTGGGGTGAGGTCACAGTTGACCATCAGGCGCAAGCGTTGGTTTGAGGACATACCCGATGCTTCTTGCTCGGCCACCTTGGCTCGTTGCTGCGTGCTATTGGTCGAATTTTCGCCTGCGTTGTGGCAATTGAATGTGAACCGGCCCGTTTTGCAGCCAGGCAAGGCATGGAACGAGAGGCCGGGGAGAGAGAGCCAAGCACGTACGGCCTTGAATGTGTTTTGGGCCGTTGACAAAGGCAACATGTTGGTAGCCAAAGCGCTCGACGAGCTGTGCCGCGGAGCAGATGCAGGAGCAGAGTGAAATGACTGCGGGGCTCAATATCAAACCCAGTGTCGTTGATGGGGACACAAGGAAAGGGGCGGGGGGAGAAAGGGGAGAAAAGTGGGAGCTGGACCTTTTGAAGAGCAGCAAGAAAGGTCTGCTTCTCGGGCACGGTCGGGGCCGTCCAGGTAAAGACTTTATCAAATTCCAGGATCAGGTTGGCCGTGCTGTTGGATTGATCGTCGACGCAATCGTGCACGACCTGCAGCTCATTCAAGGCCCAGGAACGGCGCTTGCTGTAGACGTCGTCAGCCGTGACCTTGACTTTGTGAATAAAAGCATTGTTGCTGGTCACTGTGATTCCATTTGCCGTGTGCGTGTGAGGGGATCACGAGTTGCTGCTTCAAGCAGGACCAGAGCAGGTGACCCCCACGAGCCCCTCCTTCGCGCACGTACCAGCCAGGCAAAGATAGGTTTTGCGCGCCTTTTTGTCCTTCTTCCCAGGCCGCCGAACCGGCAAAACGGCCACCAGCCGCTCCTGGCTGGCCGCAAACAGCTGCCGTTGCAGAGAAAACATGGCCCCCCCAACTCGCCGATCCCCGAGTCGATCCCCCCCCCCAAGGTCGATGCGAGACCAGCGCCGCTCTCAAAAAATTTCTCTCTTTGCTCCTTTCTCAAACCGACCAAACCAATTCATCTCTCTCTCTCTCTCTCTCTCTCTCTCTCTCTCTCTCTCTCTCTCTCTCTCTCTCTCTCTCTCTCTCTCTCTCTCTCTCTCTCTATCTATCTCTCTCTCTCTCTCTCTCTCTCTCTCTCTCTCTCTCTCTCTCTCTCTCTACATGTGGTAGTTGTACTTTTCCTTTGTGTTTTTGCTCTTTACTTCTCTCTCTCTCTCTCTCTCTCTCTCTCTTCTCTCTCTCTCTTTCTCTCTCAAATCTCTCTCTCTCTCTCTCTCTCTCTCTCTTAC